TTCCTTGTTGTGTTTAAGCTCACTGAAGAATTCTCTGCTAAGCCAAACTGGTCACTTGCCAGATTTGCTATTCTTCTTGCACATTGAGATAATTTGTTCCTGTGCCCTCAGTAAGATTTCTTTAAAATACAACCAGCTCTCCTGGACTTCTTTGCCCCTCAGATTGGCCTCCCAGGAGATCCTGCCCATCAGTTCCCTGAAGGAATGAGTCTGCTTTTCTGAAGTCATTTTTAAGACTAATTGCTAAAAAAAATAAGCCAGTGCCAACAGAAAAGTCGCGGTTAGTAGGAGCCTTGAGGCAAAGAAGAAAAGGGAGGCAAGAAGGTCGTACTTTCCATGGTTTTTTGTAATGTAGAACATTAACAACATTCATCTATATTTTATATAAGCCATTTAAATATAAATTGATTTGTACCATTTTTTACATTTCAGGTTATCAGGACATAATATAAATCTGATATTTGAAAAGGAAAATATTCAAGAATCAACTATTTAGGCATTCACACTAGTGAATTTCAGAGCTGGTCCATTTTTTTTCATTTTTTCAGTTTTACTTAGGAGACTATGTAGCATAACAGTTCACCTCTCAAGACTTGTTTTCACTGCAGCATTGGTTCTAATTTGTTGAGCTATAACTAGAAACCGTACCTAGATTTCTGTGTGCACATACCTAGCAAAAGTTGAAGTGCTTTAAGTTCAAACAGGTTGGCTTGTCTGAAGGTGTGGGTTGCTGATGCTGAACCTAAGACAGGAAGTCAGCTACTCTGTGATGCTTGAATGTTTTGTAATCTATTTTCATTTGAGCTAGCCTAATCCAAGAGAAGTTAACTCAATGTAAGCAAAAGGTAACGCTGTAGTGGACCGTAGTCATCTACCTTCCTTATAGCGTTTTGTTTCCTGTGATGGTCTTTGGACTGCAGTTTAAGAAGAACTTAACTCTGATGTTGTACAAATAATGGCAAGGTCTTTCATGTCTAGACTTTTGGCTAACATAAATATTCAGATATGGTTGTGAAAAACACACTGTTTTCGTACTTAAAACATCCAGTGAATGACAGTTAAACCTTTTGGCCAAAAAAAATGTAGTTTCCTGTTAGTGTTGTATTTGAATAGAATTTTGCAGCCATAGTAGTTCAGAACAAGAGATTCTTCTGAACAGATTGGCCTTATTCAGTTTATGTAAATATGTGACCATTGTTGATTCTGTCTTTAGCACTTTCCTTTTGTCCTATTCATGTAGCCGATTTCTGCTGTTTGGATTGTGCAGGGTAAGGTGAAAGAAACGCTGTTTATGCCTCTCAAGCCCCTTTCCTTAGAAGATGAATTGATTCCGATTTTGAAGGACCCCGGAGAGCAGAGTAATGAGTTGATTTGGCAGCACGTGCTGCATGTCCACCCCCCCCCCCCCCCCCCCCCCAACATGCCTGGCAAATGGAGCCGTGGCTGTCTGCCAACACTTTGATTACGCAAGGCTTTCTGTGTCCTAGTTATCTGAACAAAGATAGCTCTAAAGAACATTTGCATCACACCTAGGTCATATAGTCAGAAAAGGCTGCCTCTTACCAGAATTGTACTGAGTTGTGATCGAGCTTTCCTCTGTGGTAAGTTCCATGTCAGAATTGTCAGGCTTCAAATGATGGTTTGCCTCCTTTGCTAAATAAATATAGAACTGTCAATCAGGAAAATTTTATTACATCACCCTAGAGAGAAAATATTTTAAAACACTATTTTAAAACAAATTTAAAAGCAAAATATTAAATACTTTAAGTTTGAAAACATTACCTTTGTATTTGGTGATTATTTTTTAATGTAATATAACCACAGACATCCATTTAGTTGCTTATTTTAATTTTAAAGGTTATGTAAATCAAGTATATTAAAATAATTGGATTGTGCACGTGTAATATATTATTTAAGTATATATTTGTATAATAAGCTTGATTTTCAAATAGTGATTCATTAAATTATTTAATTCAATGACAAGTTACTTCCCTTTTACACCAGACTTAATAATATATTCAGTAATTATGTTCACATATAAGCAGTATGTGCTTTAAATGCCTGAGAGAGGTTATATCCAGAATAGTTAGCCCAGTCACATAGGCAAGTCAAGGACTCTAAAGGAGACAAAATAGTCTTGCGATAATTGTGGTATTATAAATTGCTACAAATCAAGTTGTATCATGACTTCAACTGCAGCTCTTGAAGAGACACAGCTACTTTTTAACATTCAGAACAGTGCCTTCTAGGTAAATCCTCTTACTCAGGATTTGAATTTCTATAGACTGCTGTCTGCCTTTGAGGTATTGTATGTCGTCTCTGAACTGCAGCGGCCTCTCCTGCATAATAACTATTTCACACAGCAGTAGCCAGCTTTAGTACCGCAATATTTGTGAGAGGTGCAGATGTTTGCTAGCTGCTTCTGTTTGTTGCAGAAATAGGAGTCGGTTATTAACGTTTGTGGGGGGTTTTTTTTTTTTTTTTTTTCATTTTTGGTGCTGGTGATAGGAACTAGTGGGATCTGATTTTGGTTAATGAGTTTTATTTATTATATGTGATTTTTGTCTGTTTTGAATGCATGAAAAGAAGCTGTGTTGTTTATTCTAACCTAACTAGAGGTGTAGGTTTGTGTGTGTGTGCTTGAAAGTTTGTTGGTTTTCTGTATGCACCTTTGCAATAGTTGTTTTGTTCAAAGTGCTCTATTTTTCTCTAGTGCCAATATGCATGTTCTGGATTATTTGTAGCATCACTTTGTGGCTTGCTGAATGGTATGGTTAGAAATGTATAGCATTTTGGAATATTTACCATAATGCTGTGGAATTTGAAATTGTGAGGAAGCAGGTAACGTGTTATTTTTACGATTTTTGGTGACTTTTTTAGGTGTATTGGATGAGAATATCCTTGCTATTTTACTGTATACTTTTGAATACGGTAGATTTAAATGCTAAAATGGACGTTTCTTATGCAGTTATCTATTTTCTCTCACTCGATCTCACCGTAATAGTCATTCTGAAAAGCTACCAAATACGTGTCATGCTTTTCGTTTTAGATCTGTTTATTTTATATAATAGCATTACTAGGTGAAAGCAAATCTACCTTTCTGTTTCTAATAGCTAATGACAGGGCGAGTTCAGAATGAGTTTTCAACCTTTTATATCTATTAGTCCATTGCACAGGCCTAAATATACAGGTCTGTACATCCTTTTCTGTCAGAAAAAAATTTAATGTAAAGTCAACCTTTTGATTATTCAGTCATTTTTAACTTGCCTTCTTAGTATTGCTATGGTAACAGACTAAAGGGTGTCTGAGGCAGACAACCTGCATTGCAAAGCAAGTGAGAGGAAATTGTTAAGTTCTCTATCAGTGCTGATCTCTAGAAAAAACAGCAAGTCAAAGAAATAAACTGACATTGTGTTGCTTTACGATTTTTCACTTTATTTTAGAAGTTGTATGCGTGCTTATTGTTTTCTGGACCTTCTTTTAGGTAATTGGTTTAAAATATTCATGGTACTGACTTTAATAAATTTGGATTTGTAATTAGGTTATCATTGTTTTTGGAAACTGTAAGTTGCTGGGATGCAGAATGTATGCCTCAGTGTCCTTGTTATGGAAGGTGTGGCATTAGTCTTCATAATTTATCTTAGTTGGTTAGTGTCTCAATTGTTTGATTTGATTTGTTTAAGAAAATTTTAAGTAAAAGCCCAGTTGTACTCCTTGCCCACTGTTGTAATAAACATCATTGAGAGGCAAACTCTATAGAAAGAGTAAGTTGAGGATGAAGAAGGTTGTGCCATATATAGTAGCCTTGATTATGGCAACATTGAAAAAAGGGTGAGTGCATCAGTTCATTGGGAATTTTAATTTTTTTTTCCTACGTCACTAATTACTATTATTGTTTCCTTTTTGTTCTTCCAGATGCCAGAAGATAGATTTTCTTACTTGTATGTTAACCAGATAAAATGTAGACTTTGTAATATGAATTATAAATCTTTCAAAATTTAGGTTTTGCCAGTTCCTAATTTTTTATTAGAATGTTTGATTTGTAATCCAGGTAACAGTGGCTTTATCAGAATTATTTTTTTACATTTGGTACTAGTACTTCCTCTGCTTTATCCAGTGAAGTATGAATATTAATGCGAACTCTAATATGAGTAGAAACTTTGTTTATGACGAATGCATTGACACTTAGTTTTCTCTGTATATTCTATCCATTTTGATGCTTTTGGTTACTCTTTGGTTCCCTTAATGTTGCTTGTGGGACACCTATAAAATGATCGGTCATGTCTAGACTTTTGGGCAGACAAACTTTATTGCTGCCCAAACTTTATTGCTGTGGCTCTATAACCTTCCCACTAGAAGAGTGAATCAGTTAAATGTTTATGGATTTTTAGAAGTGAAATCTTCACTCAGTCTCCTGAAGGGAGCACAAATAAATAAATACATAAACCCTCCAAATGATGATGTCAGGACAACTTTTAAAATGAAAACTGGACACAGAAACAGTTGATTAGTAGGTAGCTGTTAAATTTTGTCAAGTTATTTATTTTTAAGATTTTGCTGTTTTTTGATAAAACTTTTTTTTCTATTGTATACCAGTTACATACTAACTGAAAAGTAATCTTGCATATCAATTGCATGCATACTAATTAATGGCTTACGTGTTTGTCTGCATAGAACTAGAAAATTTGACTTTCAAATCTTGACCTTTTTGGATGACAAAATCTTTATTGTATAGAATCTTTCCTTATTTTCCTTAAGATAAGTATTTTAAAGTTCTGTTAAAAATATTATTTGTTTTATGTCCGACTAGTTTACTTTCTTTTCTTCTCATGAAACACACTGTTAAGCAGAAATTTTGAAGCTAAGTACAAATTAGTTGGCACTGTGCCTTTATGCCCCATGTAAAGTACTAGATTTGTTTTCAGATATGAACATTAAAACAATTTGCTTAAATTTTAAATATTTTCTACTTGAGAAACAATAATTATTCTTTTTTTCAGCATTTTCAGTTAGCTTTGATTGACTGCAATCCCTGCACTTTGTCCAATGCTGAAAGTAAGTATTTTGATTCATGTATATTATTGCATATACAGAAAAATATCAATTTCCAGCCTTAAAACATTTTTAATAAACCTCTTTTAAAATGGTAATATCTTATGGATAGTATTTTAGGCATTTTCTTCACAAAATTGCTAACTTGGGTAATACAGTTTTGTGCCGGTAGCCATGGTTACCCAGACTACGCAAATTACTGTGAAAGGAGCTAGTGGGAGCAGTCTCTGTCAAGTATAGATGTGTTAATACAGTTGTTGAATTATTGCATCTTAGTTGAATGCAAGAATTAGGAGGGACACGTCTCATCGTTGACTGAAGATGCTAGATATGAAGATGGATTTCAATGTTCGTTATATAGTACTCAACTTATAAAATTACTTCTTTTAAAAGAAAATCATACAAACTTGATCTTTTTTTTTAATTATTTCAACATGATAATATATATCCAGAATATCATATAAAACTTAAATGATATTCAAATAAGAAAAGAATTTTTCATTATTGGGCAAGATGAAATTTTGGTTAAGTTTTGTTAAATGTTTCATAGTTGGTAGGGTGAGAAGGGACCTGAGCAGATCATCAAGTCCGACCCCCTGCGATGGGCAGGAAAGGATGCTGGGGTCAAACGACCCCAGCAAGGTGAATATCTGGCCTCCTTTTGAAGACCCCCAGGGTAGGAGTGAGCACCACTTCCCTTGGAAGTTTGTTCTAGATCCTAGCCACCCTGACTGTGAAGTAGTGCTTCTTGATGTCCAGCCTGAACCTGCTCTCAGTCAACTTACGGCTGTTATTCCTAGTTATTCCTGGTAGTGCTCAGGGGAACAGTGTCTCTCCTGTTCCCCACTGGTCCCCCTTGGTAAGTTTATAGATAGCTACCAGATCCCCTCTCAGCTTTCACTTGTGAAGGCTGAACAGGTTCAGGTCCCGTAGCCTCTCCTCGTAGGGTCTGCCCTGATGCCCCCTGATCAACCGAGCGGCCCCCCTTTGGACCCTCTCGATGCTGTCCACATCCCTCCTGAAGTGCGGCGCCCAGAACTGGACACAGTACTCCAGCTGCGGCCTGACCAGTGTCGCGTAGAGGGGGAGGATCACCTCCTTGGACCTGCTTGAGATGCATCTGTGGATAAATGACAAGGTGCGGTTAGCCCTACTGACCGCAGCCTCACATTGGCAGCCCGTGTTCATCTTGGAATCAGTAATGACTCCAAGATCCTTTTCTGCCTCTGTGCTGATGAGGAGTTCCCCAGCCTGTAGGTATGCTGCTGGTTCTTCCTCCCCAGGTACAATACCTTGCACTTGTCAGTATTGAAACCCATCCTGTTCTCATTCGCCCACCCCTGTAACCTGTCCAGATCTAATTGCAGCCTGTCCCTCTCCTCTAGTGTGCCCACTTCTCCCCACATCTTAGTGTCGTCCGCGAACGTGCTTTTCACCCCCTTGTCCAGGTCGTTATGTTACGTATGTATATGGATACAGGTATATATGAATTTGGAATAGTCTCTCTCTCAATTTACTCTGCTATGAGCTACCATATACAACATATATTGTGGACCAGATCCTGCAGATGTTTACGTATGTACATTGTCCCGTTGAAATGAATGAGAGTAAACATAAGATTAAAGTTAAGTATGTATGTATATTTTTGGGATTCGGGTAATTATTTAAAATCAAAGAAAAGCTATTCAGTTAAGGAAGTTTATTCAGTTACTTTTTAGGGTATTTTGTGCTGCACCTAATTTAAAGTTCAGTTGTCTTTCACATGTCTTCAGAGAACTGAAGTCATTCAGAAGCCCATTTACATTTCTTCATGGGCTTTTCCATTTGAAAATGGATCGAATTTGCAAATTCTGTTACAGTTGCAAGAGAAAATTTAACCAGAGTTTAATGAACTATCTGTAGTTTTCTCCTATAGCCTGTGTATGGAATTTGAGCAAAAATGAAAGCAAGTGTCTTTTTTTGTCCTTGAAGCAGCTACCTATGCCAGAAAGTCATCTTCAAAGTTGTATGCCCCTTTTCAGTGCCAGCTGCAGACAACTGGAGAATTCCAACCTGAGTCAGCTCTATTTTTTACAAACAGTAGGATCTTTCACTGTATTTTGTATTGTTTCCGACCTATTTTGTGAACTTTTCCAATATTCCCAACTCCTTTAATATTAATTTTCACTGATATGCCGCAGTATGAGTCCATCTTTCTTCAGTAGTATTAAGTCAGAAAGCCCCAAAAGTTAGGAATTGAGTTTAACTTCATGCCAGGCTTTCATTCAGTCCTCAGTCAAGAAGTTCCTATGCTGCTTCTGACCCTATGCCTGAAGTACAGTCACAAAAATCTCAGAATCTCTTTCATTCCCTCCTTAACTGTTCCAACTACCCTGCCAGGGTAGCCACATCCGAAAGACTCCCATTTTACCAGAGGCTCTGCTATTTCAGTTCTGAGCACATCTCCCTCTATTATTCAGGTAGGGTGAGATTTGGCCCTCTTTTTCAGCACCAAAATATCTAAGTGCAATCACCTCCCATTCTGTTAGTGTCCCTGAAAAAACATTATAAAGTTAAATATTATTAACAAAATTAAGCTGAGAGAGTCACTATGATGTATAGATAAACATACTCCTCCTCCTTCTCCCCCCCCCCCCCCCCAATCAAATCGGAGGTATTTTATTACATTCTTTCTACATGGATTAAATATGTAATGTAAGCCATATAAAACTATCCATCAAGAGAAGGAGATTAAGAAACAAATTACATTTGATAAGATTCTAAGGATAAGCTTTATAATATTCTTAAAATGCAATGAGGTGTCGCTTTTCTGGTGAAGGAAATAGTAATAAAAGATTTCTTTTACTGAAGGACCCAGAGAAGTAAAATTTGAGGCAACTCTGAAAACCTTTCCGCTGATATTTTTCCATTATTTTCTCAAATTAAAGTAAGTGATTAGACTTAGAAAGGTAAACTTTCTCATTTGTGTTTGGCCTGGTATTAGGAGTAACAGTACAATTCAGAGTTCATCTTTTCACAGTGATCCATAGGAGACCTAGATTTTTTCATAATATGTTAGCCCATTTCTAGAGAGATATGAGAGAAGCAAGATTTCAACTCTTTTGGCTTCTTCCCTGATAATTTTGAGAGAATATTATGTACAGAATTTATTGCCAAAGAGCACTTCGGGATGAATTCTAGCCTGTTCTCATCAAAAAACATTTAACGACAGGCATATCCCCTACTCATTGAAGGGGACTATAGTAATAGATTAATTGATGCACATTTCAAGTATCCTGGACGCAAATACATTGGTTAAACTAGACTGGTTTAGATGTTGAAGAGTTGGATTTACACAAAGCATTTTGTAACATGGTTGTAATAAAGCAAGACAGTTTGTGGGGCAGCAGGGAGAGGGGGAGGGGATTTTAGGATATAATCTAGACTAGACCTAGACTTTAGTATATAATCGCATATAGGGGCTTCAAGGTGGGGTGGACCAGGTTAAACAGTGATATACATACTGCTAAATCAGTTCTGATCATAGAATAGATTGTCTTGCCAGCATCTGGAAAATTATCTGTATAATACTCGCATAATTTAAAATTTAGAATTTTTTCACCAGAGAGACTCCTAATAAACTTACAAGGCAAAGGAATCTATTCAGTTTCCTCAGGCATGTGAGTTACTAAGATCTCTAAAGATTTGTGATGTCCTTATTGATTTTAAATGTGGCACACTGTCTACATCTGTGGAACCTTCTGAGCCTACTCATTAGTTTTTACCATATTCGTGTACTAAATCAGCATCTAAAACACTACATTTATGACTGTTTCTTAATTTAGAGCTCTTATTGTTCAAGCTACAGTATTGAAAATTGCACAGAATCCAGAACTGTTGTCTGAATGGCAAAAGATTTTGTACTGAAGATTGCTCCTAAATTTCACTTGCCGCAGGAAATTGAACACCTTTCTACCCAAAATGATGTCACTTCTTGAGGATAGGCTTGGGATAGAGAGAGAGATGAGATGGTAAACTGAAAGCATGAAGAAAAATCACTTACTGGTGAAGTTAACAATCCTCAGTACAGGAGAAAGAATCTATTCAAGGATACAATAGAGAAAGACAATCAACCAGGACATATTCTATCAAAATGTAGTGCTTTTCTGAGTAGAAGAAGCTCAACAATCACTAAATTAATTTCATAGACATTAGGGCTGGAAGGGACCTCGGAAGATCATCAAGTCCAGCCCCCAAAGAGCAGCCATGTGGATTCACCCTGGAGGAGGTCTTGGAACACTCTAAAGTTCAATTCTGTCACATTAATAGATACATCCTTCAGCCAAATAACACTTCACACTATTACAGAGTGATTTCAGTGATTCCAGTCTATGTATGGTACCTTTAACATATGCTGTTAGAGAAACCTGAATTTGAATTCAGTCAGTATAAAGACATTGTCTTGTCTAGAATAATCTCTGAACTTTTATAGTATTTTATCCTAGTATAGATCTAATTCTTACCATACATGTCTTAGAGACTACCAAATAATTCTTTCAGCAAAACTAGAAAATACCAAACTTGACATTGATTTGTTCTACAGTTTAAAAAGGCAATTAGCATAGCCAAGTTCAAAAAGGGACTAGATAAATTCATGCATGATAGATCTATTAATGGCTGTTGAACAGAATGGTTGGAGATGCTTCCACTGGCAACTCTAAACCAGTAAATGGTGACTGCCAGGGAGGGTATTGAATTAGGGAATAGATCACTGTAGAGGTATGTGGTTCCCTATATAGCCTCCACTTTTGCCACTAGGGTACTAGGCTAGATGGACCATTGATCTGACCCAATATGGTACTATACTTGTGTTCTTTAAAAAAAGGTGTGGAGAGGAGGCTGGGGGCAGAACACGAGGTTTATGATTTTTACAAAATCATTCATGCTGTCTTTATGAATCATAAAGAAAAAGTGTTACAGATCAAAATATCATCATTTGCAGACCACTTTTCAGGAGCAGCATATTTAATGTCTTCCTAGAAATAAACCCATGGATTTGTTATACTATAATTGAAGTTCTCTTGGTGTTTCCAATGGAAATTGTTTTTTAAATCTCTTACTTGTAAGCATTTTCCAATAAATACATGTGTGGTCTTAAGAGCAGGAGCAATGGTTTTAGAGCATTTTAAATTGGTTGTGATAAGAAGGATACTGTGACCTTTTCAGGTATAGACATATTGAGACTTGGGAACCTGACACCCCCCTACCTGTCTTTTTACATAGCACTAGTAACTACAGAGCCCTCTAAACCAGTGATGCTCAACATTTTGGTCCTGCAGGCCAAATGTTTGGTGTGGGGCTGGTCCATGGGCCAGGTAGAGTCCCACACACCAGAACTGGGCCCTGGCACTATCCCTTCCTTGCCCCATGCACCAGGAGTTGGTCCTGCGGGCCTGGCAATGCCTCCTCCAGCCCTGCACCCTGGATTGGGTGTTGGACCCTCCCCCTTCCTAGCCTCCACACAAGGATTGGGTCCCAGGGGCCTGGCAACTGCCCCTGTATGCTGGGATTGGGTTCTGAGGCCCAGCCTCATCCCCACGTGCTAGGATCAGGCACCTGATCCAGGGCTTGGGGCCCAGAGCTCCCCGTGGCTCTGGAAATTTAGCAGCATGGAAGTGGTGCCACTGCTCCCCTACTGCCAAATTTCTGGCCCCACGGGGAGCCTTATAGGCCAGATGACATGGTGCCACAAGCTAGATCTGGCCCATGGGCCAGGGGTTGAGCACCCCTACTCTAAACTGATGAGAGAGTTATTACTTAAAGGAGAAATACACCAATATACTTTGACTGTTTTGTATTTTTCTACTGGTGTAAATCTGTTTTAAATCTAATCTAAATGATCAGTGTATTCAGCAGTTTTGTGCTAAACTCTAGTGTCACACTGAGTCTTGCTTTTTAGGTTTAAATAAAATTAAATGAGATTCCGAATATGGCATGGTAGAAATCTTCAGCTGTTTTGATAAGTTCATGTATGATATTTGAATGATTAAAACAATATTAAATGTGATTTTTTTTAAAAAAAATGAAATTATTTCTCCTTCAGGAGGAAGACAGTAAGGCAATGTAGTGGTCCTTGTATACTAACTTGCAATTACATTTTATGACAGATTTTTATTACATGAATTCAAAGAATTATACCACACCCAAGGTTCACGTGTTTAGCGGCAATGTGAACCATTGACACTAGTTTATAAAAATCTTTGAAAATATCAGAAAACTGATTTGTATGAATTATTCCCTTATATTATGTCTTACTATATACTTTATTTAACTTAGACACAACATGTGTTTTCTCACTGGCTATAGAGGCTGGGAAATTATATATACTGGTTGTTTTCCCACATGTGAAAATATTCCCTGATAAATATATGTGAAAATGCACTAATCATAAAACTACTTCCTAGTACATGCATAGAATAAATATAAAAAAATGAAATGTTCTTAATATGAGCAGCATCATAATAGGGATAGATGCTATATATTTAAGCATATTGGAATTCCTTTCAATTAATTCATTGAATTCTGAAATCATTTTGACCTGTCCCGAAAGTGACTAGGTTTGGGACCTAAAATAACTGATTCTGAACCTCTTTGGAAAGCTAGAAATACTAGATTACCCAAGACAAATAGCATTTTTATATATTATTTAAGATATAATGACTCAGTTTTTTTCATCTGTTGAACCAGGGAGAGATGGGGGATCTGCTGGGTATCATAGGTTCACAAGACAACAGATAAATGCATTTGTTTTTGTTAAATTTGATGTAATTTTAGTGAGATTTGTCCGTACTTGTGCTCTCAATTGCACCTTCAAGTCTTCATTTCTGTAACATTTGCCTGTAAATGTAACATTATTGATTAGACTACACATCCCTAGTCCTTCGGTGCTGTTGTCAAGTTTGAAATCACTGATATAATTTTATTTTGGAATAAACATAAAATACCAATATACAAATTTTTGATTCACTTATTTATAGTTTAGCTTGTTAGTGCATCTTGGTTTAGTTTGTTTAGTATAGATTTGATGGTTTTGCTTTTTCTTATGTCTTTAAGCTGTTTTGCTCCTACTCAGTGTTTGCTTCTTGTAATAGTTTTACTTTCTCACTTTTACAGTTCAGTTTCACATTGCCCACTTATATGAAATCCAGGTAAGTTTTAAGCTGTTCTTTTATAAAATGCATTCCAGTTGCAACTGTTCTGTGTAATCGGTATGAAATTCAATTGATCACAACACTTGTGAATAAAAACTAGCTAACTGTAAGACGTGTGAAATTAGCATAATTGATCCCTCAATTATAAAGGATGAACCCATTAAGAAAAGTAACTTGCCATGGCAAGTTCAAAATACTGCACATGTAATCTCATATCAGAAGATCAGCTATTTTTCGTAATCTTTTTCTTACCATAATTATATTAGGATATGTTGGCCAATCATGTTTAAGGCATTAAACATAACTGAACTTGAACTTTTGGCTACAACTTTTCAGAGGTCTAAGGTAACTGACAATACAGTAGTTCCTGAAAGCATTGTCAGGTGGCCTTTGAGGCCTCATATAATACACAAATTTAAAGAAATCTGCAAATGATTGTATTATAAGATAAAAGATCTTTGTAATCTGCGGATTGTGAGGCTGTATTATCAGTGCTGGATCAAATTTAGTTTAGTAGGTGGATTCTTGATAAGTTGCAGAAAACTTGTCAATTAAAACTACAATTTTATGATGCATGTAAATGTGGCATGAGTAACTAATGAACTATATTTCAAAGTTTGGTATAATTAGAGTGAAAAACCGATTATTCAATTTACAGTTTACATGCTTTATTGTGTTTATAGCAGTATATATTTAAAATAACCAGGTAAAAGATCTGACAAAGCAAACCGAAATAAATAAATAATGAGTATATTATGGCTTGCTTCAGTTACGAAAAAAATGATTTTATAAAATGAATTCAATTATTGATGGGGAAAGTGCAGGCCAATTAAAGTTTACAATTTCTTTTTTTTTTAGAATAAATATTTTATTTTACGTATTGTTGAAAGAAAATCACCCGTGTGATATTTTAGTGTGCTCACCATGCAGTTCAGAATACTGTAGAAAGTTCTGAAAAGAGAACTTCAAACAAATTTTTTAAGAAGGCATCCTCAGCACACTTTGGTTTTTGTAATCTGCTAGAATGAAATAGCATTCGAATTCTCACATTGTCATAACAGTTGCCTCATTATAACTATGTAAAGGATATTTAACCAGGGCTCCATCTAAACTGAATTTTCTAATGGGGTTTATAGGAATTTGGTTCAACACAAGTAAGAGCTAAGAGCTTCCAAGAAAGATATGGAGTTGGAACCAATTGTCTTCACAGGTCTGGTCTTAAAATATCTCCCAACTTGGGTACTGAGAGAATTTGAAGTGTCCAGTAGGCCAGAAGTGTCCTTTCATCAGTTCTGCACCGTTTTTGGCAGAGAGAGAGAAGGAAAAAAGAAAAAGTGCTACTATTTTCTGGATTCATTCTTTCTGTCCATATAGCTGAAGCTAGTACTGATCTTTCTATTGGTCATATCATAAAATTCATTCAGGGTTTCTTGATGAAGAGCAAATCTGTATCCAGAGGGGAGGGGCCTGAGGCAGCGCAACCCTGGTCTCTCCTGTGTTCCCAGCACAGAGCTGGTGACTGGGCTCGGGAGCCTGGCACAGCTGTCTGTAGTCAGCTTAGGCTCTGGGCAGCTGCAGCGGGCTGGCTGCAAACAGCTGTGCTGGGCTCCACTGCCCGCTCTGAGGCACACCTGCACACGCTGGTACAGAGCTGATGCCAGGGCTCCAGAGCCCGGCACAGCTGTTGGCAGCCTCCCAGCTGCAGCTGGCCCCAGCTCTCGGGTCTGCTTGCACCTAGGTCCTGCCAGCTGGGAGCCCAGGCTGTTCCCAGCAGGCAGCTGGGACGCTGCAAGCCCTACTGGGAACAGCCCGGGCTCCAGCAGCTACCCAGAGCCGGGCTGCTGACAGCCACAGAGCCTGGGCTGGGGGGCAAAGGGCACAAGCAGGGCATCCTGCCATGTACCCCCTGCCGTCATTTTGTTTTTCTGGCATGCCAGCACTTTGGCACCTTCCAAGGTAGGCATTGTGGGTTTTTTCGGCACTCCGACCAAAAAACGCCTACCCCTGTACTACACTGTTGAAAGTTAATACACATGACCAAGAAATAAATAAGTCAGGAAAGAAATAAAACTTAAACATGAAAATAAATGTAAACATAAAATGTTATTTCATTGATTTTTTTTCCACTTTTTTTTCTTTTCAAACCCCCCCCCCAAAAACAAACAAACAAACAAACAAACAAAAAAAACCCCAAAAAACCGAACAGTATAGTTAGGAAAAACAGATCGGGTGTTAACATTTTTCAGTTTTAATAATTAGTTAAAATTTGTATTTTCACTTTTAATTCAAGTAAAAGAATGTTGTTGGCACCATGTGATTGAGGTTCAGTTTTCCTTTAGAAGTAGTTAATTAATTTCCTCTTAATCAAATCATTGAATTCATTTTGTGGGAAGCTTAATACTGCAGAAAAGACAGTTCTTTTCTATAAATACTGTACAACCTACTGTACTTCGCTCCTTCCTTGATAATTGTTTATTAGGCTTATAAACCTACATTCTACTGACATTAACTGCAAATTAAATTAATTGCTATAGTAGGAAATTGGAAATATTAATTTTATTTTTCTAGAACAGAGATGTTCACGTGGCGGTCTTTGGGGCCCATGAGCACTTGACATGAGACCCATGGCTCCTGGTAGTTGTTCCCCCACTTCCCCTTCTCCATGTGGTAGGGAGAGGACCAAGAGATATGTGCACTGTCTGCGTAGCCTGCGTGGCTGGGGGTGTTGCCTGCTGCTGGGAGAGTCTGTGCAGGGATGACCACACAGGAGGCAGAGGGTCCACATGCAACATGCATAGTTCAGGGGCTTCTGAGGAAGGGATGGTTCTGTCCCCCATGCAGCACATGGGCCTCACACCAGTGCCACCTGTAGTCCCTGCCTTCAGCAAAGTTGGACAACTCTGTCCTGGAAGACCAGTTCTGTGAGATATTTATATGCCTCTACCATCAAACCATGACTCCCTTGGCTTCATCTTGGAAAAAAAAAACAGAACTGGAATGTAATAGACTCTGTTGAGTGGATCATTCTATTTCAGTTCAATTAATATTGAGAAAAATCATGCATGGCTTTTTAAATATTTATAGTAAATGCCATTGAATAATGCATATGTGGAAAGTTACAGGCTTGATGAAAAATGTTATAGGCTAAGAACTAGAATGAAAATGTTTAAAAAATGCAGCAGGTATCTATGTATATTGGTGCAGCATTTTATATAAATTCTATAGATGCATATATGTTATTTCTAGAAATGTTGGTGATTATTATATTGTAACTGAGAAATAAAACTCATTTTAGCATCTTTATACATGATGACTTTTTAAGTAATAGTGTTGCCTTAAATTTAAGAGTCTTTTAAATTTAAAGACATAATTTTACTTATAAATAAAAAGATTGTATTTTATTGAATATATAACAGGTTACAAATATTTGAACTTAGAGTTTCTTTGTACAACAAATTCTATTTCAATGTACAGTGTTATATAGAATAATTGAAATGCATACTAAATGAATATCAATGTATTTCAGTAAGTGTACAATGGTACACTTTGTGTTTGGAATCCTGTTTGCAGAAGACAGGTGTATTTTGTGGAATAAATACTTTTATTTATTTAACAAATACTAGGCAATGCATACTAAATGCCAGTCTTAGAAAGAAAAGAAAAGCCAGTCTAAGCTGATTTTACTTCTGTTGAATAGAATGCTGCTTGGACTGGTTTTGTTGATGGAATATTTGAAGAGTAAGGTACTGTCCAATATGAGTCACAGACACTAAATTTAAGCAATTTCATTTGTAAGTTCACTGTCAATAAAATTCCACATGCCCTTCTCTCCAGAACACATAACCTATTATATAGCTAGTCCTTTGTTCACTGCTTGATACTTATGTTCTTAAATGACTACTAGATATATTAAACTTAGCTATGTGCAAATTTAAAAATATAACTATAGAAAGCCCCATTGAAATCTGTGAATATTGCTGATTTTTACCAATTGCGACTTAGGCCAAGTACTTTTCAGATACTAGTTACAAGTTCTTCAAGGCAGCAGATATAAAAGTAGTGACAAGATTCCTGATTCTGTAGTAGTACTTTTACCAGAGTTATTCTGAAGTGTTTATTAATGTTACTAATGAAATATTATTTTTATTTTTTATCTACTTGAATAAATGCTGCCCTGGGTTTTTAGTAATGTGATGGTGAAAGATATGTGACTGTGCTCCCTGGCAGACGTTCAAACAACGGCAGGATTGGGATCAGAGGAATTTTATACCATATCCCAAACACCGTGCCTCCTGTCATGCCAGAATCGATGTTTGGGATATGACACAAAATTCTTCTGATCCCATTGTGCCACTGCAGATCAGGCTGGGGGTGCCTCTCTTTCAGACAGTGTTGTACTCAGTCTCTCCTCATCCCCTTCCTCCCCTCCCTTACACCCCTACAGGTTCCAGACCTGGGGCTGTTGGGGCTTGTCTGACAATAGGCTGATAAACTGGACCTAATGGTCTCAGGTGGGTTTGAGACCCCAGGCTTTTGGGCCAAGTCTCATTACCAGCTAATTGTTGGCCCCTTTACCTTGGGACATCTAAAAAGCTGGGTTCAGCCCAACTTAATGCATCTTGGTATTTGAAAGTTTGCCAGGTTCAGAGGTTGTTAGGTTGCCAGTGGCCAAACTGTTCAGCTCCCCCCCACCAGGCAGCCTGCAACCTTCTCACCTGGCAGCAAAATTTTGGCATCTGAACCAGGGCTGTCCTGGTCCCAATACTGACCCCCATCCCCATGCCAAGACTGACAGCTGATTGTCAGCATCAGCATGGGGTGTAATGCATTCAATTTATGGTGCCGTACAGACAAGTCATAAAGATGTTCCACATTATTTGCAGAATAACTTTGTGGCTGGCTTGCTGGTTTGGCACTATAAATCAGCTGAACGTGTATCACAGTTACTATTTATGGTGCTATTAATGCATTAATCATATCATAACTATAATGTGTGCTGGGGATCTGATAGGATAAGCAGGAGACTGTTTGGTTCAGAATTCAGTTCTTGAGACCCACAAGAGCCCGAGGCTGATATATCAGCAAGGGACTAAAAAAATCTTTAGGTTTAAACTGCATAATTCAGGCTATAGCGTATCACCAATTGATTCTGGTTCAGGTTCTGTTTGAGCTAGAAAATATCTTGTAGAACAGTGGTGCCCAACCTTTTTGCCCAGCAGTGCCCAGTGTCTCCATGGACACAAACTGGCACCTAGGATGGGTGTGACAAGGCCACATCTGGCTGTATGGGCCAAAGGGGTGTGGCTTGGTTCTGGCCCTGCAGGGGATGAAGGGAACATGCCCCAACCTGGCCCAGCGTGGGGGGAGTGGTGGCCCATTTCTGACCCAATCCCATGGTAGGGAATTTGGAAATGAGGGAGGGTCGCTCCTCTATTGCCAAATTTTCCAACCTGTGGGGAGTCCCACAGGCCAGATGTATGGCTCTGAAGACTGCATCTGACCCGCAGGTTTGTACACCCCTGTTTTAGAAAAATAGTCCAATCCAATGTTGATCTAAGGACTTCAAGTAATTGTGCATCTTGAACATATTCTTTGGTAAGTTTTTCAGTGGTTATCCTTTCTGTTTAAAAAAAAAAAAAATGGGGGTTATTTCCACTCTGAATGTGTTTAGCTTCAGTTTCCTCTCAGTGGGTCTTGTTTATTGTCTTTGTCTGTTAGACTGAGGTCATAGACAAATATGCTTGTAGTGCTACCAAATGCTGAGGCCTTACAAAAAGTAAAGTGCTGTAGGGATGTGCATAACCCACTTGACTTGAGTGATGCAAAGTTCTCTCAAAGTTGCTATTCCTTTGTTTTTCCTCACCCTCATAGCAGAAAGACTGCCTCCAGCACATGCTGCCATACACATTAGCTGGAGGCAACAGCAGCAAATAATGCAACGGGGTTGGAGGGGGACTTACGTCATCGCTAACCAGGAGTTACGTCTCAGTCCTTCAGTAGCAGCTGTCAAAGACAGCCCTCAATCACCCATGGAGGGGAGAAGATGAGGAGAGATAGGGCATGCTGTTCTCGCTCCTGCGGCCCTGGGACTGTTACTCTGTTCCATGGCAGCAACTTTCAAAGACAGCCCCTGATCTACAGTGTCTATTGCCAGTTTTTCTCTCTAGGTACTATACTTCTTAGTAGTACATGCCTAGAGGCAACCAAATTGTATGCTAATTTTAGATGTGATAAGTTAATTTGATTGAGCTTCTTTAGTCTCCTGCTGTAAAGACATATTTCCATAGTTCAAACACTTCTTGTGACTTTATGAAGCCTTTCAGGTTTGTTGGCATCCATTTCAAAGTGTGGGCCTCCGAACACAGTTAGTTCTACTGTTAATCTCTTTAATGCTATATGGCAGTAGTCATAACACCTTTCTACTAAATATTCCTTTTTCATACATCCAAGAGAACTGCATTTGCTCTCTTAGATACTCCACTGCACTATACACTCTAATTCAGTTACTTATTTATAGTGACTCATAATTCATTTTCTCAGTCACTGCTTTTCTGTGCATGTGACGCATGCTGTTGGTTCAAGGACATTTAACCTTGCATTTACATATATTAAAAAATATTATTGAAATTAATCCAGTCTACCACTTAATCCAGATTTGTTCTATACACCTAGACCTGTTCTTATCTTTTATCATTCTAACATGTTTTGTCAACTTCGAAATCACCAGCAGTGATTTTGCTTTCTTCCAGATAATTGAGAAAAATAATGAATAGCACTGGGTCAAGAACACATCCCTAAAGGACCTTACTGAAAGTGTCCCCATTGAATGATTTCCCTTTAAGAGTTACTTTTTGAGCTCTGTCATTTAATTTTTAATCCACTGGAAGTGGTATGTAGAATTTGCTTTGTGCTGACTCTTTAATCAGAAGTTGGTTATGTTAGTAGTTAGCTTTTGTCAAGCAAGTTTATAATTTCATTCAAAAAGATAATGTTTGTCTGTTAAGGTACAATTACCATGAAAACTTGTTGAATTGGCATTAACTAGGCTACCTGCCTCTAATTCTACGTTGATTAGATCCCATGTAGGTCTTTCATGATTTTGCCCACAATCATCTGGATTACACTTTTCAGTTATTAGCACTCTAGCTTTCTTGTTCTCTGGAATTTACCTAGCAATCTAAGATTTATAATATCAGTGAGCAAACAGCTACTTAAGCCAGTTCTCTTAGGTGTTGGGTATAAGAGTCTGGTTCTTCAAATTTTGGAGTGTTAACTTTAGCAGTCGGTTTTTAACATCGAGTTATAGTTGAGACGGAAAGTGATTTCTTATCATTGTAAGATGCTTATATGTCAACAAGTTTCTTTCCTAACATAGAACAAAAATACATACTTGTATATTAAACACTTTTATATCTGTTAAAATTTCATTCGCTCCTAATAATACATTCTTTCTGATGGTCCTTAACTGTACTGCCCATAAATCATCTTTTTTCATTGCTGACATTAGTTTGTTTGTGTTTTTTCCTCAGCTGTCTATATGTTGTAATTGCTAATTTATGGCCATTGCTACCAGTTTTTTTGTTTATCATTTTTGTTGCCTTTTGGGTTTTTAATCATTTAATCATTAAGATCTCTTAAGTGATTGTAGAAATGTGATATTTGAGGCATCTAAAACATTTTAACATCTTCTAATAGTCATTTATGTGGTTTTATGTCATTTTTCTTCCTAGTCAGTTTTTGTCTTCATTGTTTAAGCTTCAAGAAATTCTTCTATTTGAAGCACCAAGTATGTGTGTTACCGCTCAGGGCTATACTCTCTCTGTATAACAAATGTAACTAGGTCATGATCATTTACACCTAGAGAATAACTAATTCACTTCAGTGATCGGTTTTATATCACATCTTTTGTTTAAGTCCAGTATTTAATTATGCCAAGCAGGACTTGATACTTATGTTAGAGTATTATGTATAGTTTTCTAGAAAGTCTGGGAAGTTTTACTGGTATCATTAGACTGCCAGGATCTGTCTTCCGGTTTAGAAATCAGGGAAGGGAAACTAAGGAATTAAAGCATTAAAAATTACATTTACTATTGGCTAGTTATGACAGTATGACATTAATGTACCATCTGTGTGAGGAAGGTAGGCAAAACATAAGTTACAGAAATGTTACTGTCAAAAATCTTTCTAGTGAATGAAAGAGAGAATGCACATACACACCTGCTGTTCGGGGAAGCTAGTTTCATCACCTTGTTTCTGAACATATGGATTACACTTGTGAGTGAATTTGCACTTCAGGGCCTTGCTAATATAATATACATGAATTGGAAATTAAAGATTTTTGCTTCAAGCACACTGGCATAACTTGCAAATGACAGTATCTTAATGTTTTCAGTATAGCACAGGGCTTTTTTACTAGATGTGCAGTTTTCTGAATATTTTAGCTCTCAGTATGATGAAGCATGATTAAAATCCTGTCACAGGGCAGTAAACATTTAATGCCACCAGCAGGCTTCAGTTACTGAAAAGGTGATTTCAAAATACTGAAGGCTGGAAGACTTTTTGCTTGGGGGCAGAGGTTTGTTGGTGTTTTTATTGCATTCTCTCTAGACTGTAAACTTACAAACTTTTTGGATGGACCCAGTTGCTATTCTAGTGATAAATTTAGTATATAACCTTGCTACAGAAGATATGTAGGCCCAAATTCAAGAAAACCTGTGGGAATGGTTCAGTGACTATTAATTTTAATATAAATGGAATACTGTGTCTCAGACTTTTCCTCTAACTTATTTTATTTTATGTATTAATTTTTGTACCAAATATTGTATCTTCAGGAAGGTTATTCAACTGTAACATAAATCTGTATCATTAAAGTTTTCATATGCTCTCTCTGAGAAGAAAAAAGTTTTGGTATTTTGAGGACCAGGTTTTTATGGTATCAGGGCTGTGTGAAAATTGATAGTATAGGTAGGTTGTAAGGTTTATGAATAATCCATTTACTTCCTTTCCCTTTTGCAGAGAAAATATCACTCTGCAAAGGAAGCTTATGAACAACTTTTGCAGACCGAAAACCTTCCTGCACAAGTAAAAGCAGCTGTCTTACAGCAGTTAGGTATGTAAAAAGCTAAACAAAAAACGCTGTGTGTTTGGATTTGCCTCTTTTATTTTGCAGTCTTTGCATTCAGAAAATGTGGTTTTTAAAGGCCCTGTGTTTAAGATAAGTCATAGTTTACTAAATAATCATCCATGTTAGTGAGAATAACAATGAATAAGACACCTACCAGAGGGAAACGGATATTTTAAATAGGGGAGTCTGGGTTGCCCTTGCACAGTTTGCTGGTGTGTGACCCCCATTGGTGACATGGTTTGGCCCCTGACCCCTTAGAAGCTGGACAGCCCTGATTTATACTGCTGTACTAGGTGATAGTAGGGATCTACCTAAATTGCGCTGGAATTGCGCTGCTCAGTAGCTCCTTTAATTTTGCTTTTATTTTTTCTGCTTCCCCCCCCCCCCCGCGCGCCG